GTCCATACTTTGGCACATAACGGACAGTTGAGAGCAGTGTCTCCCGAACTCCTACCCACTACCTTTACAATTTTGCCAAAACCACATACTACCTATACTATTGTTTTCAGTATTTTATTTAAATATATATTTTTAAAGAAAACTTGGGACAGGAGAACATGTTAACCATACCAAGGGGGTTTACTCAGCAAACTGTAGACTGTGAAACTGGGAAGACAAGTAACCCAGTTCCTTCAATAAACAAATTACAGGGAAAAGGAGAGAGGCACTTACAGATTAAAAGAGGCTTTGGGGTACCTGGTTGAGTGTCTGACTCTTGATTGTGTATCAGCTCATGATCCCAGGGTCATGAGATCAAGCCCCATGTCAGCCTCTGTACTAAGTATGGAGCCTGCTTAAGATTCTCACTCCTGGGGAGCCTGGGTGGCTCAGTCGGTTGAGTGTGGGACTCTCGATTTCAGCTCAGGTCATTCTCAGTTTCTGGGATCGAGTCCCATGTAGGGCTCTGCCACTAACAGCATGGAGCCTGCTTGAGATTCTCCCGATCTCTCTGCCCCTCCCCTGCTCATGTGCACGTTCTTACACTCTCAAAATAAATAAACTTAAAAAAAAAAAAAAAAAAGATTCTCTCTCTCACTGTCCCTCTCCCCCCACTACCGCTCCTGTGCGCACTTACTCTCTCTAAAATTAAAAACCAAAACAAGGCTTAAGGGGCATCTGGCTGGCTCAGTCAGAAAGGCATGTGACTCTTGATTTTGGGGTCGTGAGTTCAAGCCCCACGTTAGGTGTAGAAATTACTTAAAAATGAAAATCTTAGGTGCTTGGGTGGCTCAGTTGGTTAAGCATCCAAGTCGATTTTGGCTCAAGTCATGATTTCATGGTTCGTGAGCTGGAGCCCTGAGTCAGGCTCCGCACTATGGAGCCTGCTTGGAATTCTCTCATTCCTCTGCCCCTCACACACACACACGTTTTCTTCCTCTCAAAATAAACTGAATAAACTTAAAAAAACAAAAACAAAAAAGAAAAACCTTTAAAAAGAATATTGAAATAAATTTTTTAAAAAAGGCTTAAGAGACATCAAATAAATGTGACTCTACTTTGGATTGTGGTTTGAAAACAAAACAAAGTTTATGAGATGGGGCGCCTGACTGGCTCAGTTGTTGGAGTGTATGACTCTAGATCTCAGGGTTGTGGGTTTGAGCCCCATGTTGGGTGTAGAGATGACTTGAAGTCTTTAAATAAGTAAGTGAATAAATAAAAGGTTATGAGACAATGAGAGAAATTTGAATAAAAATTGTTGGGAGTGAGGGGTGCCTGGTCAGCTCAGTTGGTGGAATGTGTGACTCTTGATCTTGGCTCATGAGTTCAAGCCCCATGTTGGGCATAGAGCTTACTGGGGGAAAGAAAAGAATTATTGTCAGGGAGAGGAAAAAAAAAGAATTATTGTCAGTTTTGTTGAATATGATTAATGGTATTTGGTCTTTTTTTTTTCCCAAGGGTTCTTATAGAGATGCACACTGAAATTGCTTACTAATAATTGGGGAGGGGACTTAGGAACACTTGCTATCATTTGCCAAAGGAAAAAAACCCCACAAAAGTAAATATATTTTACAGTAAAAATAGTACATGACCAGGTAAATCATCTTTGGAAACATTGGCTTTGGAGAAATTAAAATTGAAATCCAGGGGCACTTGGCTGGTTCGGTCGGTAGAGCCTGTGACTCTTGATCTCAGCGTTGAGTTTGAGCTCCACATTGGGCATAGAGTTTACTTAAAAACAAAGTCGGGGCACCTGGGTGGCTCAGTTGGTTAAGCGTCCGACTTCAGCTCAGGTCATGATCTCACAGTCTGTGAGTTCCAGCCCCGCGTCGGGTTCTGTGCTGACAGCTCAGAGCCTGGAGCCTGCTTCGGATTCTGTGTCTCCCTCTCTCTCTGCCCCTCCCCTGCTCATGCTCTGTCTCTCTCTGTCTCAAAAATAAATAAAAATATTAAAAAAACAAACAAAATCAAAATCCAATGCAAAGGACTGAAATGGTGACTTTTGTGAAGCTAAGCTTGGCCAAAAATGTCCAGTGATTGAAGAGGCAATAGACGGCAAGTGAAACCATACACTTATAAAATTGCCAGTCAAGAAAAGAATTGAAATCCTAAATTAGAAATATATATCTCTAAAGCTGGAGAGCAAAGGGTGGTTGAAAACTTAAGTCAGCTTATAGCTCAAAAACAAAGAACTCCTCAGGGTGAAACTTTTAATAGGTGGAGCCTGGCCCATACCCTCCTCAAATGAGGCTGATTTGGGCTCAGTAGAAGGCAGCGTTATCCAACAACTAGGGCTGTCCGATAATAGACTAGGTTTCCTTTGGGGATGGCAAGTTCTTTTTAAAGGTTATTTAAGTAATCTCTACACCCAAGGTGGGCCTTGAACTCACGACCCGGAGATCAAGAGTCACAAGCTCTACCGATTGAGCCAGACAGGTGCCCCGAGTTCTTTTTCAAGCAGGGGTGTCACAACCGGCAAAAGGAGGATCCATTGTTGGACCAGAGGTTAGATGAGCTCACCTGTGGTTCCTTGAATCCATGGTCGAGACCATGGAGAGGAGTGGAAATGAGAAAATTCTCTATTGGTCCCACCTCTACAGACCGGCAGAAACTGTTCCTGGCGTCCAGCAGATAAAGTGAGACAAAAGACAACTGTGGCCTTTTGTGTTGGCTGCTGCTTTGAACATCTTGCAGATTCCTAATTGCCATGGCCAATGAAAAATGCATCTCATGCTGGGAACCGAAAGCAAATACTCCCTCTTGAGGAGAATCTCACCAAGTAACAGATCCTTTTTTAGTTAGGTAGAACACATGGCTGAGATAGTAACAATGGTTTATGTTCTCAAGACTGTCTGGAGAAGGTCTGTACATTATATACACATGCAGACACAGATATTATGCCTTGCTTTTAGGAAATGATGTTCTGAGACAGCTGATTTTTTTCTCTATGTCTCTCCATATATAATCATATATGTATAATTTTTATATAATTCACATGCCATAAAATGTACCCTTTTAAAGGCAACTCATTGTTTTCAGGCATTTTGATTTGATATTGTTCTAGGAAAGACTTTGGAAAAGGTGCTCCACTTAGAGTAACTTACGGGGTGTGCATGTAGATCTTGCATTGTTACAACAAGAAGCCGAGGTAGGAATGTATTTGCACAAATAAAATTAGCCCCTTGGAAGACAAACTAAGAAGTTATTCCAACACAAGGAAAGTGAAAGGCATAGAATTCATCCAGCCATGAAAACGTTAAGCATCAACGTTTGCGTCCCTTAATGCCCCAGAGAAGGAGCTTTTCTTTGGCCAAACCTCCTTCTTCTAACTCAAAAACAGTAGCTTGCTCGCAAGAGCAAGTGCTGGATATGACAGGCAAATCCAAAAAGAAAAGAAATGCAGAAAATTTACTCATTTTCATCTTTTCCTAAATTTTCCTTCCTGCTTTTTTGCATTCAGTTGCTTATGTGCAGAACAGAGGAGGGTTTTTCGGGAGCCCTCTTACCCCATGGCCCTACTCTTCATACACACCGGGGTAGGCCCTTCTCTTACATTCCCAGAACTCCCAGAACCCACATCAACACCCCAGGCTCCTTATTTCTTTGCTGTCTTTACTGCCAGTAACGAACTGCCTGTGTGACCCCAGCTGAGTAATCTGACTTCTCTAGGCTGTCCTCGTGCTTTCTAGGTGAGGGAGTTGGACCAGAGGAATGATAAGATTCTCTCTCCGGAGTATCTTGCTTTTAGTTTTTCCCAAGCGCCCATCCTGTCCATACCACAGGCCCTCCACCTGCCCCACAAGCCCACCACCCTGGAGCTTCGTGCTTTCTGCCTTTCAGTTCCCCATCTTCAGAGACCTCAATTCATATTACGACACACAGGCAAGAATTTCAAGTAATGGATACAGTATTTGTTGTTGAAACAGTCAGCCAAAGACTTTCTATGTTGGAAGTAGAGGTAAAGTGGTAAGGGAGCAAAGCCAAACACTTAAGAGGACAAAAGAGAAAACTAGCTCTTGGTTAACTGTCTTCAACCATGTTCTAACTCAGCGCCGTGTGCATGGCATTTGAAGCCATGCCTCAAATTCTGCTTGCCCCTTAACTTGCCCTGTGACCTTGAACAAGTTAACTTTGATTTTTGAGTCTCAAGTCGGGGCGCCTGGGTGGCTCAGTCAATTAAGCGTCCAACTTCTGCTCAGGGCATGATCTCGTGGTCCATGAGTTCGAGCCCCACATTGGGCTCTGTGCTGACAGTTCTGAGCCTAGAGCCTGCTTCAGATTTGTGTCTCCCTCTCTCTCTGTCCCTCCCCCCCCCAAAAATAAACAAATATTGAGTCCCAAGCGTCCTTGTCTGTGGAAGAAGGGAGGCGGGGGAGGGGGTGCTAACACCTCGTAAAATTGTTGACAACTGAGTATTTTTATGAAGTCCTCAATACAGCCCAGGACACAGGAGCTCAACTACAATAACCCATCATCCTGTAAGAGTCCCTAATTAGCACACTTCTCCTAAGTCAAGTCTATGTTGTCCTTTGCGCATCTCACTTTTTCCCCCATAAGCATCCTGACTCCTACCCCAGGTACAGATATCAGATTCCTAAAAGATCCACAGGAAAGTTACGAAAGAATCAGGAGGCATGCGGGTTTGGGGAATAAACCAGCCAACACCAGTTCAAAGAGATACTTTCACAGCTAGCTTTATGGTCCGGGATGCAGGGTGAGAAGTGATTACACCTCAGCAAAATTCCCAGTGCCCTTGGAGAAGGGCGCATTGAGTCGCAATGCCCCATAAAGTCCTGCTGCCTGGCTGGGGAAAGGAAAAGTGGGAGGAATCCTAAGCCCAGGGCACAACGTTCCTTCTGCTCCCTGCACAACCCACCCCTCGCAGGGGAAATCAGAGGCTTCCAACCTGTGCTGCCCCCTGATGATGGCAAGAGCAGGCCTAGCCTCAGCTCCCGCTGATGTCAGTTTTTGGGGCCAAGTACAAAATCTTTGGGTGGCCCTCCACCACCGCCGTCCTGTCTGTCTGCTGTGGGGGAGCCATGCAGGGGCTGCACCCCCAGAAGGGGGCCAGCCTCTGGATCCGGTTTGCTGCGTTTGGCCAGGTCCTCATTGTGAGCCTTGCGGATGTGGCGGTATAGGTCCCCTGACTGTGTGTAGCTGCGCAGGCAGTAGCGGCACTCATAGGGTCGCTCGCGTGTGTGCACGGTGGCGTGGCGCCGGAGTGTGTAAGAACAAGAGAAGGTCTTCCCACATGTCTTGCAAGTGGGCACATCCTCCGTGAAAACTCCAAAACTTCCCGGGGTTGCTTCATACTCAGAAGGCAGGTAAAGTGGCTCATGCAGGGCCGGGGGGGCGGGCAGGGGTGAGGTCACCAGTCCTCGGTGATACTGCCCTGGACCTGGCAGCAAATGGTAGGGCAGATGAGGATCTGGGGGCAGGAAGTGGTCACTTGGTCCCACCTCCTCCAGTCCTGCCCTGGGCTCCTCAAAAGTCTCTGGCTGAGGGGGCTGTGCGCCAAACATGGCTCCTCCAGGAGGGAAGAACCCCTCAGGACCCTGAGGCGTTTCCTCTGACACGTCAGGCTCCTCATCCGAAATCACAATAGCTTCCACTTTCACCTGGACCAGCTCAGCTTCGGCTGGTGCTGGAGCCTGGGATGGAGCTGGGGCTGGGGTTGGGGCTGGAGCTGGAGGATAGAAGCCTTGCAATGGCGCTCCAGCACCCCTTGGTTCCACCATCCTCAGACTCTCGGTACCCACATCAAGGGGAGCCAGCGGCTCCACTGAAACTGCTGGAAGGCCAGAAGAGAAGTAGTTTGCAGGAATGGTCTCTGTGGAGCTACTAGGGCTGGCAAGGGAGACATCAGCCACTGGTGGAGGGGGGGGGCGTAGATGTGGCAGGTCAACCTCCACGCCAGGCTGTGTCGTGTCTGCCCCACCGGACACTGGTGGCTCATCTGGAGGACAGACAGTTGGTGAGGGAGCTGCAGGGCCCTTCCATTCCCCTTTGCCCCAGTGGCCTGATGTCTCAGCAGATGCCAGTGAAGGCTGGGGGCCGCGGGAGGGGTTGGACAAAAACTCCAAACTAGGGGGCTGTGAGTTGGTTTCCTCCTCCTTCTTGGTACTGTCTGCCTCTGCCAGGGCCCGGGCTTGCAGCCGCCGCTTACACACTTTAACGATGTCATTCATGTGCAAGTAGCTGGCAGCTGCCAGCACATCCTCCACGGGGGTATCCCCCCTCAGGGCCAGCTGGCCAGCATACATAAAATCCAGAAGCAGCCCAAAGGCTGGGGCTGTGACAATCTCATTGTGGATGCACACCAGATCCCTCTTGTCCAGTTCCCGCTCCTTGTAGAAAAGCTGGAAGAATGGGCTGCAGGAGGCCAGCACAGCCCGATGGGCCAAGAAATGGGTGCTACCCACCATTACGGTGCAGTCACAAAGGAAACCCTGGGACCGCTGCTCTCGGAGGCTCTGCAGCAGCTGCTGGCTGTGTTCTGGGAACTCCATAGCACCCCACGGATGGAAAAGGACCCTAGAAAGGTCCCCACCAGTGGCTCCCTGGGAAGAAAGGACAGTAAGTTAGGGCAGGTAACCTCCCCAGCAACCTTAACGTCAATCCTGAGCCATCACTTGCCACTCCAAAGCCTCTGGCAACACCTTCCTGACCCCAAGACGCCCGCGGGAATCGCTACCCTTGTTTCTCCTAGGTCACACC